GGGAAGAACATTAGGAAGCTCTGCAACATCAGGAAGTGTAAGCAGAGACCCAGCACAGCTGGAACACCTCGAAACGCACAGTGAAGACTCATTCTGGGGACAAGGGACAGCCACCTGCAAGGACCCCAGATCTGAAGAATTGTAATACAAAGGAGGGAACCAGAAAGTGTGCCTTGGTACACTAGAACTTTCACCTTGTGCAGACAGCTCTGAATGTTGTGAGAAGTAGCTTCCAGATACATGTGGTACATAAAATAAAACCAAGAAGTTTTGTTAAGAGGTTGGATATGGGGTATGAGAAAAAGGAAGGAGTCAGGGATGATTTCAAAGTTTTCTCATGGGCAACCAGAAAAACTGCAGGTGGAACAGTTTTTAGTGAAGAACAGGAGTTCAATTTCTAATATCCAAAACTTGACCTAATAGACAGCTAAGTGAAGATTATAAAAAAGCAATTGAATGTAAGAGTCTGGAGTTCAAGAAAAAGAAGCAATCATAAATAAAAATTTCAGAGTCACCAGTGTATACAGCAAGTTTAAAGTCATAAGACTAGGTGAACTTACTTACAGAAGTAAGATAGAGAAAAGAAATATAGGCAGTGAGCCCAGATTCTAACAGGAAGTCAGAAAGGACAAATGAATAAGAAGGAACTTCCGAAGAGTTAGGAGACAAATACTACTATTAAAAAACCACCAGGAATATATAAAAATTCCAAAGTTTATGAAGTTCAAAAGAGTCATAAAATATATAATGTCAAAAAATGACAAAATTAGAAGTATATAAATCCATAATTACAGCTGGAGATTTTAATGAACTTCTCTCAACAGTGATACATCAAAAAAGGAAAAGAAAGTATGTATATGAAAGACTTCAATAATAGTATGAAAAAATCTGATATAACTGGTATCTAACAAGGAGGAGACTAAGTGTAATATACACAGAGAGATGATAAATGGATGGGTAGGTAGATGGATGGATGGATCATTGATTTATAGATATAGATAGATGTGGGGGTGCTTTTATAAAGAAAATCATTAGTTCTGAAAATGTGAATTTCTGGAGTCACAGAGGAATTTCAACTGCTGCCTGAAACAGAGGAGGGATGAGAAAAGCCTTAACTTTTTCCTACCCTCTAATCACCCACCAGTGTTATGGAATGAACACAACTGTGATCTGATGGAGAAAGTGCTAACTGGGAAACGGAACTTGTGAGGATCATCCCTCCTGCAAATACAGAGCAGGAAACACAGAAGGATGCAAGAAACCAAGCAAATGATACACATGCTGTATCCAATGACTTGTCCGCTATTCTTAGAACAGTAAGAGAAAAGTTGAAGGGTTTTAAGTAAGAAGTCACAATCTTATTGGCATTCTTCTGTGTAATGATTGCAATGAAGAGAGAAACAGATGGTCATGGAATGAACAGTTATGAGACTAGGCATTTGCACAGGCAGGGGAGATGGTAACTTAGACTATCACCATAGAGAAGAAGGAAAGGAAAAAGAAAGCAGTAATTTGAAACAGATTTCAAAGGTAGTCTTGAGGGGCTGGCACCATGGTATATTGGATTAAGCTGCCGTCTGTGATGTTGGCATTCCATATGTGTGCCTATTTGAGTCCCGGCTGCTCCACTTCCAACCCAAATCCCTGCTAATACACCTGGGAAAGCAGTGGAAGATGGATCAAGTGCTTGGGCCCCTGCAAACACATTAGAGATCTAGAAGAAGCTCCTGACTCCTGGCTTGGGCCTGGCTAAGTTCTGGCTGTTGTAGCCATTTGGGGAGTGAACCAGTAGATGGAAGATATCCCTTTCTCTCTCTTTCTCTCACTCTCCCAAACTCCGTCTCCTCCTCTCTCTGTTAACTCTGCCTTTGAAATTGATAAATATTTTATTTCAAAAAAGACAATAAAAGAAATGTAGGGGTTTTTTTAAAGATTTATTCATTTGGAAGTCAGAGTTACATAGAGAGAGGAGAGGCAGAGAGAGAGGTCTTCCATCAGAGGGTTCACTCCCCAGATGGCCGCAACGGCCGGAGCTGTGCCAATCCAAAGCCAGGAGCCAGGAGCTTCCTCTGGGTCTCCCACACAGATGCAGGGGCCCAAGGACTTGGGCTATCTTTTACTGTTTTCCCAGGCCACAGCAGTGAGCTGGATTGGAAGTGGAGCAGCCAGGTCTCAAACCGGCACCCATATGGGGTGCCAGTGCTTCAGGCCAGGGCGTTAACCCACTGCACCACAGCACCAGTCCCAGAAAGGTAGGTTTAAGATGACAAGAAATTGGTGTCCAAGTGAGAGAGAGGAAGAAGCCATTGATGGCTCCCAGATTTCTGTTTGAACAAGGGGAAAAGGATGAGTCATTCACTGAGATGGAGAAAACAGAGGATGAATATTTACAAGAAAGATATTTACAAGTCTAATGGACAACAGATTATCTGAGCCTAGGGTTCAGGGACAGATCTGAACTTATATATATCAAAGGCCAACAGCATATTCTCAGTATATGAAATTAGGCAAGTGGGAAAGATGACCCGAAGAGGTTATTTATAATAATTATAATAATTATAATTTATATTATATATAATATTATAAATATTATATTATTTATATAATATTTATATTATATATAATATATATAAATTTGGATTTATATATAATATAGATATGATATCAATATAATATATATTTATATTATATATAAATCATTATAATGTATAATAATTATAAATAACCAAAGAGGTTCTTTATAATCAGAAGGGGCCTAAGTTTGTAAAAGTGCTAAAATGTAAAGGAGAGATAGAAAAAAACCCAAAAATTCAAAAAGAAGTCAAAGGACAGATCAAAATAAATCAAACCGATGCCAAGAAAGAGAGCAGCTCAGAAAGAATGGGTGTTTATCTATGTAACATAACTGAGAAACCGAAGTGGGGTGTGTCTTGCCTTAGCTGTGGAGATGCTTCTAGGGACACCTGCATCCCATATCTGAGTGTCTGAGTTGGAGTCCCAGCTCTGCTCCTGACTCCATTTTCCTGTTAGTGTGAACCCTAGGAGGCAGCAGATGATGACACAAGAAGTTGGGTCCATGGATGAGTTCTGGGCTCCTGGATTAAGCCTAGGCGCACCTGAGGAAACAGTAACCAGTACAGGAAACAGGAAAGGGAAGTGACAGACAGAGCAGCAGTTAGGGGTGTGTTCCATGGTACAAAAGGAAGCCATTATAAATTTTTTTTTATTTTTTTGTTAAATTTAATTCTCATTATTTTATGGATGTGAGTGGGAATGTTCTCCCATTTCCCTAATACATTATTGTCATAAACAGGAAAAAATATTGGCCTTTGTATATATGCTTCCTTCTTCATTGAGACTCTCCAGATCATCTGGACCATCTCAACCTGGTGTGTGCCAGGACTCCTTCCCTGTGCTTCTCTTTTAGGTCTGTACTCATCCCCTGTATCACCCATCATTCTCCTGGCATTAATATCATACCTACTGATGACTCCAAAATTTAGATCTCTAGCCTCAATCTCTTCCCTGAACTCTAGACACACATAATAAACTGTCTACTTGTTATCTCATTATGGATGTCTAACAAGGTCAGGGTTTCCTGACTGGACTCCTGGATCTTTTTCTCCAAACCTGTTCCACCTGATGTCTTTCCCACAATTACCCAGCTTTGGAATCATCCTTGAATTCTTTCTTTCTTTTTTTTTTAAACTTTTATTTAATGAAATAAATTTCCAATACACGGCAAGAAGCCTTGACACTATAAAGTTCACCTGACTGCAAGCACATATGGATTAGCAAGTATATATTCACACCTCCAACTTCATTTCTCTGAAGGCTTACTGACTTGACTTACAGGGAATGCCAATGTTAAAAGATTCTTCTTTCTCAAGAACATTCAGAGATCCCTAAGGGTGTTTAAATGAACTTATGCTGGGGATCATTTGCCACCACCTCCATCATGGCCAAACCCTGTTGCCAACAGGTGCAAACTGGTGCATTTTAAAACTCACTCTTCACCAGCTGGTGCTCATTTGGAGCTTTGCCATGACCAGTGGTGTTGCCAGGAAAGCATCCACATCACTGATGTTGCTGCCAAATAGAATGAGACACGGAGCGCTCCAGAGAAAGCACCCGATTAAACTGCCTATTTGTGTTAGCTCCCATTAGACCTCTTCTGGTTCTACAGGCAGAGCCTGTCCTACAAGTCTATAAGGGGCAAGAACAGCCCCTGCCTGCATACCAACCCCTATCTATCGATCAATCGATTGATCGATTGTTTGATGATCTGTTTCTCTGAGCTGTCTGCTGACCAGGAAGGTCTTGAACTCCCTTACTTTTCACAACACTCTGAGGTAGATATGACTTTATGTTTCATTGAACAGCCAGCAAAGCGACATAGCATGACCAAGGACACAGATCTAATATGCGGCAGGGTAGGCTACATCTGCCAGAAAGCCTGCCACAGACATCAACTGCCTTTCTGCATGCCATGTGAACTTCATGCTGGGGCTGCCTCTACTGCCTCCCAGGCTCCACTTCCTCTTATGATGTGCAACCCTCCCACTCTTTTCTGAAACTTGGCCACAGATTCCACCCAGAACATCGGAAATATTGTTATGGCTACTTTTGTGGTAGGTACAGATGGTCTCAACCTTTTGGTCCTGTGCAAATTCGGGAGCACAAATAGACTATAGATAAGGAGGTGGCAAAATCTACACACCAACACAGTGAAGAACAAAATCAGTCAGGATGCACACCTAGCCAGGCTGGCCCATTACCTAACTCCTCCTACAAGGAAAACCGGGTCCAGGGCTCCCACAGAAACCAAACGCCCTATGAGCTGAATATTGATGCAACTGAATGAGGTATGTTGGGTAAATTGGAGTCTTCTACCTCACCCACATAAGAATATCATTACAATGTCTGCTATTTTGCCTACTACTGAGAGTAGAAAATTTTAGGCCTATAGTAATCACACTGTTTACCTTTTCTCCTCATAGAGATGTTTCAAGAACAAAGATCCACTCCCTGCCTAGTGGTGGCTTAGAAAATCTTAAGAAGCTGAGGGCCAGGTCAACATACAATTTAAAAAAGCTTCCTAATCTGGAAAAGTTCATCGCCCTCACAGAGGCCAGTCTCACCTACCCAAGCCATTGCTGTGCCTTTGCAAACTGGAGACGGAAAACGTGAGTCTTCCTGGGGTCATCCCTTGAGTTTTCCTATGGCACCTCCCCAGTGTAGTCTACAACCTCTACCTATGTGACGTGCAGAGAACCCAACAGCAGAGATCTCCCTGGCTGAAGCCCATAGGTATATTCTAGATGGAAGACTCAGATTTGTGGAAGGTAAGCAATGGTTGGACTTTGGAAAATAAGCTCACAGGAGAGGGATATCCACGTGCTGAAATATCAACCAAAAATTTAGTGAGAAAACATGAAAAACACCAAGCATAGTGGCTGACTCATACCTGGTGCTTAGGACTTGTTTCCTTTTGTGCCCATATGGATTTATTCTTCAAGTCCCCAAATCTGCACCCCATAAAAGCCTCAGTCTCTTACCCTCAAAGCCAACCTTGGCGAGGAAGCATCAATACCACAGCAGACACTGAGGTATACATTACCAACACTCGGCAGCTACTCTAGACCGCCCTAATCCACTTTTAGGGACCTCAGAGGGAGGATGAATATTGAGGCCTCTCTTCACTTCGGCTTCCAAGGAAGGCCAATTTGAGCAGGCACAGATTTAAAGAGGATATTCTAAGGAGGGCCAAGCCCCAGTGGGTAACTGGCCAAAAGGTTGAGTTAATCATAGAATCTGGACAGAGTGGACAGGGAGTGGCCTTGGAGACTGCACTTGGACTAGACATTAAAGGATCCATTGGAGGTAGGAACTTACCATCAGGCATTCTCAAAACTCTCACTTTCCCTTAGACTTACAGATAACAACCTACCCCATATTGTTGCCCTCAAGTAGATGGTTTTCCATTACTCTTGCACAGTAACCTAGTCCAAACACAGCTTCCCTGTGACATTATGTCACTGCTAAACATAGTCTCTTCTATTATTCAATTTCTAACATATGAGGGGGGTATTCAAAATGTTAATGGAAAATATGTATCATGAAAAAGCAGTGCATGGATTTGAAGCGCATTTTTGCTCAATAGTAAACTTTTAAATTCCACTTTTCCATAAACTTTTTGGAGAATCCTTGTACACTGACCTGTCCATGTGAACATACCCTTTGCTCAAAAGCAAAACAAAACAAAGCCAGCACTGAAATAGTATGCATTCTCAAATGTTTTAGAAGACCTTGGAGTCTACACTCACCCATTTGAAGGATTTTCAGTAAAAGAACCGCTCTTCAGAATTAGCTTGCATTGATGGGAAAATATCTAGAATCAGGCCCTCCTCATAGATTAGCTCAAGGGCTAGAGAATTTCCTTCCTGACAACTAGAATTCTTAAGAGCCTGGGTTGAGGCAGAAGCCTTGTCTCTTTCATATTCCAGACAAGAATAAGTCTGGCCAGGGTGAGAAAAATACCAATTCACCACCAACTCCCTGGAATTGAATATCCCTCAGAAGAAATTGTGAAGGAGTTACGATCACAGCAAGAGTAGCCTATGGCATGCTGCTTGGCCCAGTTGCAGCACGTTACAGGAATGTGTTATCTCACCATGTTACGGAGACTCCTGTGGTTTTACCACCTCCTGGTGGTGTGGCATTTCCAGACTGACATCTCCAGGTTAGATTACATTGTCCCAAGACATGAAGCCTTTTCTGATCCCTCCAGACCTCCCAGCTCTCACTGCTCTGGGTTCCTCTTGTAACTGACCATCAGGGCACACTGGGGTGCAGCAAGGAGAATGCTCATGCCCCTTCCAGGACAGGTCAAACAGGGGTAACAAAAGTCAAACTGTTGGATTTTTACACGTAACAAATTCTACAGATGAACACAATGCAAAATAATTCTGCTCGGAAGAAAATCTCAGGCTTTATTCCTAACACAGTGTCCCTTCCCTGTTCATTACAGATGGGGTGGTTTGGCAATGGAACTTGAGTTAAAAATCATATAGTGACATTGTTCTCCCAATCCACATTTGAAAATAACACCAAAAATGTAAATATTGGGCCCTTGTGACTATGAGGTTTTAGCCAATGGCTCTCCTAAACTCTTGGCGAAGGGCCATATCAACCATACACTTCATTGTCATTGAGCCAGATATTGCTTTGTCACCATTCTGCACTCACCTTTTTTATGCTTATTTTTATGCTTATTTTTCTGGCATTTAGGCCATTTCTTCACAACTATATTAAATTCACGCACTAGGGCATATAATGTAAGAACCCACACAAGAACTGGGCTCCAATAAGAACTCAGTAATGTACCCATCATCATCTTCATATTACTGACATTTTCTGCCTACTCACTGCCAGGCACAGTAAAACTTTGCACCTTTATCTCTTTTTACAATGCTAATATCATTATCTTTATTAATATTATGCCCTTCTCACAGAAGTAGAAACCATGACTCAGTGTGAGAAACTGAATAACTTGACCAACACTAACCAAACACAAACACAAACCCTCCATTCTGCCTCTCTCCAAAGCTTAGACTCTGGGATCCTCTACCTTGCTTCCCACTAAGCACCTGTTTATGGTTTATGGATTAACCGGGGTCCAAGAGTACCATTTTTAAAACTGACTCAAAATGGAATTTCCAACTCTTTATGACATTTAGGGTGTGCCAGGGTACTGCAGGGGTGAGTCTTCATTTCCCTCAGTTTCTACTCTTGTTTCTTATATCAGAAACATACACAGTGGATCTTCTTCCCATCCAGTATCAATGGGTCACTTCTTTTCAGGAACGAGAAACATCAATACTCAGACTATGTCCCTAGATGATTAAGTCAGATCTCATTCCAATGAACCAAACCACAATCAGAAAGTAGCAGTTTTCTTTCTTTTTGTTCCTAGAATCAAGCTGCAGTTAATTTCATAATAGGATTTAGGCACTGGGCATGAGATTCAGGACCACAGAATGGCTCTTGTCCCTTCTGTGACAATCTTCAGGGTAGCCTCACTTTTATTGCAAGATCACCACTAAACCAAAGTATTTCTGGAGTCCATTCAATGCCAAATACAAGTGCATTAACCATTTAGCTTCCTTAGAGCAACCCTTGCCTGATTTGAGAAGCCCATCACAAAGGGTTAGTGTTTTCATTTCAGCCTCTAAAACAAAAGATGATACATTCTTCATGAAAAATAAATAGATAAATGATGCCTTGACCCAAGAGAAAATGACTTCTTGGCAATGCAATGCACTTCTGAGGTGAGAGAAGGGAGGAGAGAGCTCTACCTCACAGCCCTTCTCATCAAAAGTCAGTAGTGAAAGTTCAGTTGATAGATTTTAGACATGTAGTGAGCATTCATCCTTTAGTACCAAATAGAACCTCTCCCTCCTCCATGTCCTCAGTCATCTCTCTCCTTGTGAGAGTTTTTCAGGGTTTTAATACTCACTTCCCCACTGATACTTGAGATTATGCTAAGGTTTGAGAAAAATAAAGTCACTAAGCATTGCTGTGAACTTGCCCCTTAGGGAGGGACAGAGACGTAGGGATGTGTGTGACTTGCTTCAATCCAAAAGAGTCCCGCTGTAAAACATTTCCATTTTTAAGCCTTTGCTTCAAATCAGAAGTACTTACCCTCTGCATCTCTACATGCAGAGTATGTAGAATATTCCGGGGTAGAATATTAATGGGTATATTCATGGGCTGAATACTTATCATCTGGATTTCACTCAAATCCATCTGCAAGTACCTCCATCCAGTTGACAGGTCTCTTGTATATTTCAGTTTAAAGAGAAAACAAAGACAGGAAAGTAAGCCCAGGAAGAGCTAAACTCCCCAGGGGATGAGCTACAGTCTTGGAATAAATTAGGCTCCTATGTAACCTGCATTTGTTCTGTTGGTCACCCACTAGGGAACTGTTAAATTTGAGAGAACAAGACTCACCTTTAGGACAAACACATGCCTGGGGTCTACTGTGGCCTCTGGGGAGTGAGACAATACAGAACAAGACCCTGGTAACATTTCAGGAAAATCAGCTGGCATCTTAGTTGCCTAAGTACCAAAGAGCCAAGGGATGGGTCTGGCTGGGAACTGATTATAGACTCTGACCCTTTAATTTCTGTAAATAAAGATGTAAACCAACCCTCATTGGAGTCAGAGAATTGTTTGGATCTTCCAGTGACTGGAGCATACAGTACAGGAATAGGGCTGTGTACTATTCAGGCATATTAAGAGACAGCTAAATGGAGACAGGGAGGAGGGTGGAGACAAAGGGTGATACCAGGTCTGTAAATTATTTGCACTTAACAGCAAGGCTTAGCTAGTCCCAGGCGCCTTCCTTCCCACATTCAGGTTGTGGCCAGATGGTTTCCCCAGTGGGCCCTCAAACTCTAGGAATACATATACAAGTTGTTCTGCTCATTTACAGTAAGCAGCATTAACCATTGGGCTCAGCTTCAAGGGCAGACAAGATGTAAGAAAAAGATAAATAAAATCTCGGGAAAAAACACCATCATTTTCAGATGAAAAAACAGTTACGCTCTTGCTATTCTGGGTCCAGATGTTGATTCTCTTCCTTTTGTATTTTTCTAGCTCTGAACTGCATCCAATTTGCAACAAATCTATTTTAGGGCAAGAAGTTGAGGACATAACTCAGGCTAGGGGTCAGAGAATCTCTTTGGCAGAAGATGATGAGTCCAGTTATGGCAGAGGATTTGACATGATGTATGGTGAATTTGACTATGACTTATGCAATGAAATGGTTGATGTGACCTGCTCCCCTAAGCCAGATGCGTTCAACCCATGTGAAGATATCATGGGGTACAACACCCTCAGAGTCTTGATATGGTTTATTAGCATTTTAGCCATCACTGGGAATATCGTAGTGCTGATGATCCTGCTTACCAGCCAGTACAAACTCACTGTCCCCCGGTTCCTTATGTGTAACCTGGCCTTTGCTGATCTCTGCATTGGAATTTACCTGTTGCTCATAGCGTCCGTTGATATTCACACCAAAAGCCAATACCACAACTATGCCATTGACTGGCAAACTGGAGTTGGCTGTGATATTGCTGGCTTCCTCACTGTCTTTGCCAGTGAACTCTCAGTCTACACTCTGACGGCCATCACCCTGGAAAGGTGGCATACCATCACCCATGCCATGCAGCTGAACTGCAAGGTGCAGCTCCGCCACGCTGCCAGCATCATGGTGATGGGCTGGATCTTCTCTTTTGCTGCTGCCCTCTTTCCCATCTTCGGCATCAGTAGCTACATGAAGGTGAGCATCTGCCTGCCCATGGATATTGACAGCCCTCTGTCACAGCTCTATGTCATGTTCCTCCTTGTGCTCAATGTTCTGGCTTTTGTGGTCATCTGTGGCTGCTATACTCACATCTACCTCACAGTGAGGAACCCTAACATCATGTCCTCCTCCAGTGACACCAAAATCGCCAAGCGCATGGCCACACTCATCTTCACTGACTTCCTCTGCATGGCACCAATCTCTTTCTTTGCCATTTCAGCCTCGCTCAAGGTGCCCCTCATCACCGTGTCCAAGGCAAAGATCCTCCTGGTCCTGTTCTACCCCATCAATTCCTGTGCCAACCCCTTCCTCTATGCCATCTTCACCAAGACTTTTCGAAGGGATTTCTTCATTCTGCTGAGCAAGTTTGGCTGCTATGAAACACAAGCCCAAATTTATAGGACAGAATTCTCATCCACTGTCCACAACTCCCAGCCAAGGAATGGCCACTGCTCTCCAGCTCCGAGAGTCACCAATAGCTCTAGTTACATTCTTGTACCTCTAAGCCATTTAGCCAAGAACTCAAACACAATGGGAAAATGTTCCTGAGTGATAATTAAGTATTGCCTTTGAAGAATATACTGCAAGATATCTGACAGAGAGCTTCCACATCTTTCATTTAATTTAATCTTCCCGGCATACCAGTAAGGTGAATTGGTCAGAGTTGTTCATTTAATGTGACACATGAGAATTATTAACAGTAATAATTAAAATAATACAACACTAAATCACATTTGTTTTAAAGCGTTTTTGTTTAGATTACCTTGAAGAATCCCTCTAAAAGTTCTTTTAAATAGGAGGCAAAAATTATTCCTAGAGTTTTGCAAATGAAAAAAACTAAGAATCAAAAAACTAAGTAACTGGTTCCAAATCACTTGGCTCCTAAGAGGCAGTGCAAGGATAAGGTTTCCTGACTTCCAGATAACTTTCAGGAGAAGCACCACAGTATTCACACATTCATTCATTCAACAAGTTTTTCTTGAGCACCCATGAGATGGACTTGTACTGTATCAATCTGGATAGGCCAAACTACATTTCCCAGAATTCCTTTTCTCATCTTTCCAATTAGTGTGTGCCACAAGGAAGATTCTTGGGAAAATAGGAGAGACTGAGGGAAGTCGCTGCCATTTTATAGCTCAACACACTTTGTTGCCCTCGCGATTGAACTGCTTGCTTCAAAGCCGCAGCTGGCAGTGTTCGCATTTGGGCTACTTCTTGCTACTCTCACAGGATACTTCCTTCAGCACAGCCAGAGGGAATAAGGAACAGAGCTCAGAATGTCCTCATTAGGCTGTAGCTTGCTGCTTCCAGCATGTATGTGATCTTCCCTTTATGACCCCTGCCTTGAGGGTGTCAAGCTTCAGCAGCAGCTGCGGAGACAACATCCTTACAGAGTTGGTTTAAACAATCCCTCTAATTGCATAGCCAATTCCCTGTAGCAAATATTTACCATCTACACACACACACACACACACACACACATTTATGATTGGTTCTGCTTCCCTGGTTGAACCCTAACGAGGAGAAAATACCCCTAATGTATGACACACATACAGATTACAGCATTAAGAACACTGAAGGTTTGGAATCAGACAGAGCTGAGATTTTTATTCAGATTCCAGGATAAGCCACAACTCAAGTTTAGCACAAGGCTCAGCTTCTTCCTCTTTGCACTAAAGTTTGTTATATACCTAACTTTTGGGCATTTTGTATCAGTAGATAGTGAAATGATTGTAAGGTACCACACACTGTAGCCAGCTTGTTAAATGTTAGTTTATTTCTCTCCTCCAAGATCAAGTGCCTGGACTAGTGCCCAGCTCTCCTGACCCTCAGTCTAGATTTCATTCCATACAACACTTCACTCCTGATAAATAAGCACACTACGCACATCCATTTTCATAAACGACGCCATCTGGATAATTGGATCAAAATCTCAACCATAAATTTCATCAAGCACTGTGCCTTGGCCAGTCCACGGAACTCTGCATCTTCTCTCAAAGTATCCTCTTTCAACACTGAAGCCAATCCTCCTCCTCTTACTCTTTAGAAAACAACTCCAAAATGTGATCCCAAAGGTATGAACAAGGAAGTCCTCATCTCTGCTACATCTCAACATTTTGCAAGCATCAAGGGAAAAATAAAATAATATACAATAGTTTTCCTTGCAAATGGTACTGAATTTTTCTATCTAGTACTGCAGCCACCAGCCACATATGGCTGCTGAGCATTTGAAATGAGGCTAGCTTGAACTGAGATTCATACTACATATATACATACTAGATTTCAAGCACTTGTACAAAGGGGAAAGAAGAATAAACAATTGCTCAATAATTTTTATATTGATTACAGGTAAGAACACCATGTACAATTTTGGATATATTGAGATAAATGGAAGACATTTAAAATTTTGTTTCCCCTATTTCTTCTTACATTTTTTAATATGACTATCAGAAAATTTTAAATTATCCATGTGGCTTGCATTTGTGGTGTGCATTGCTTTTCTCTTGGAGAGCACTGATCTACAGCTCTGTGGAACAAAGACCTTACATTTCACGTTTTCCTCCACAACCCCCACATATCAGTTTGCTGCACTGCTGAGCTGTCCCAGCTCCATCTGCCGTCATTCTTGTTTGTGGCCAGGGGTAATTTTCTGAATTTGGACCCAAAAGTAAGTAGCAACTAAATTATAAATAAGATAGAGCAGTAATTATTTCCCAACAGAGCTGTTAGTGACACACTGGTTTAAGAGATTGTGGCTCCAAGAGCCATATATGTCCAGAGATGAATGCATCCCTAGGGAAGCTCAGAAGGCACTCCCCCTTCCATCAACCTGTCACTGCAACACTTCCTTGTAAGACATGAGACTTATCCTAAATAAGCAAACATATTTATGAGTAGCTAAATTCAGTTTGTCTAAACCCTTTAGACAAGTCTCAACTAAAATGGCCCCTTCCTATATTTCCTTTATTGGAATAGAACCTTTGGAATCCAATCAATCCCTCTTCCCCCACCTCTAAAGCTGGGCCTCAAGTGGTGGCCTAATGGAAACACACACACAAACATACACACACACACATACACAGGAAAATAAGCTTAAAGCACAAAATAATACAAATTTGGCTTTTATTTCAAGTCTCTAATGTCATCAACAGGACTAATAGCTTCTAGAGACTTCCTAAAGTGCCCATACCTCCAGGGCTGATATGTAAAACATTAACAAGTGGTATAGTTCAAATACTGACTGGCTGGGAACATTCCATTTGGCTGACCAAGTGCCAACTCGGTAAATGCCAGCCCACATGTTTCGCTCCTATACCTGACTTCACCCTAGGCCTTCTCCTTGGTATTTCCCTCATGTTTTCACCCATCACAAATCCCCTCAGTTCCATCCCAGTCAGCCTCTCATATTGCCTTCCTCCCTTCTTCCTTCTATCCAGATACTCCTTCCTAAATTCCAAGACGCAGGGGCCAGTATTGTTGTGCAGTGGATTAAGCCTTCACTTACAAAGCCATCATCCCATACTGCAGTGGTTTTTAAAGCCTTGGCTGCTCCACTTCCAATCCAGCTCCCTGCTAATGCACCTGGAACTGCAAAAAATGATGACCCAAGTACTTGGGCCCCTGACACCCATATGGGAGACCCAGATGGAATTCTGGGTTCCTGGACATTTGGGGAGTGAAACAGCTAGATAGATTTCTCTCTCTCTCTTTCTCCTTCTCTCTCTCTCTCTCTCTCTCCCTTTAAAACAAATAAATACATCTTAAAAAAAAGATCTCAAGAAGCATACGGACAAGGTAGGATCCTCCTCTTACAAGAGAGATCAGAGACTGAACGGGTAAATCCAGAAACTTTGAGTGGGTGCAGTGAAGAGATGACCTGGGCACACAGAGTGAGGAACTATTTTTATCTTGCCACATACAGAAGCAGTAATTGGGGGACAGCAGACAGCACTGGTGAGTGCTGTTTCACTACAGAACTCCTTGTATTGAAATGGGGAACACTTTTTATCCTTGTCTCTGGGAGGGATAAGTGGAAAGGGGAGAAAGGCCAAGAAAATAGCCCTCTGCACTTGCATTACCAAGATACTACTGCTCTCAGAACAAAGGCACCACCACCTCACTCCGGCCAGCATCACATGGCACTCATCAGAAAACTAGGGAAAGGTTGTTGAAACCGACAGCCACAGGCCTTGGGTTCATTTGGTTTTACTTGATTAGAAAAGTTTATTAAGAAAGAAGTTGGAAGAACTTTCAGCTTCTGAATTGTAAGGGGCATTGTTTAAAATATAATTCTGTTTGTTTAAAATATAATTTAGTCCACTAAACAGATCAAATAAAAGTCAACACAAAGTAAAGCCTGACCATGAAGTTGTGCTCGCTGGTTCTCATCAAAATACTTTCAGCTAGCCGGCGCCGCGGCTCACTAGGCTAATCCTCTGCCTTGCGCGCCGGCACACCAGGTTCTAGTCCCAGTCGGGGCACCGGATTCTGTCCTGGTTGCCCCTCTTCCAGGCCAGCTCTCTGCTGTGGCCAGGGAGTGCAGTGGAGGATGGCCCAAGTGCTTGGGCCCTGCACCCCATGGGAGACCAGGAGAGGCACCTGGTTCCTGCCATCGGATCAGCGCGGTGCGCCGGCCGCAGCGCGCCGGCGGTGCGGACCATTGGAGGGTGACCAACGGCAAAGGGAAGACCTTCTCTCTTCTCTCTCTCTCATTGCCCACTCTGCTGTAAGAAAAAAAAAAAATCTTTTCAGCTACGATAAGCAGAAAGGCGAACTACAAATAGATTAAATTACAAGGCCAGTTACATAAGATGCCCCAGGCTTGGAATGGAAGCTCATTGATCCCAGGCCCGGACCTTTCCTTCTTTTTCCTGCACCCTGCATGTCTGCCACGTATTTCCTATTGGTAGTGAGGATGCTATAGAAATGCCAGATGCCATATGCAGTCAAAATCAAATCCAAAAATAAAGAGGTCTCTCAAGAACCAAGAATGGGCTGCCCCTGGGGAGAAGTATCTAAGTTACACATTTTTGCTTAAATTATTCCTTAAATAGGAAATGCTGGCCTGTGGCTTAAAAATGATGCCTCAGAAGGCACAAAAGGATTTGTGTCATCTTTATTTAAAGCAATACTATATCAATATCAAATCATTAAAAACAATATCGTTATCTGAAAAACAAAGAGAAGCCTTTCATTCTGTGACTCACAATTTCCAAAGGGAAGAACCCCCCCCCCCCCCGCAAAGTCCCTAGGAAAGTTTCTTTCCCACTCATGATCCACATTGCTGACAAAACGAGTCTCTGTCACATTCAGCTTCCATAGCGGAAGGCAGGCTCTTCTAGCTAGAAAGGTGGAAATGTAAACTGGACTTGGGAAAATGGCTGACTAAGCAACCACATCCTGTAACCTAAGTCAGCCCACATCTTCCATTGTGTGGTGAAGCCAATGAGGCTCACAGCCAGGATGTATATGGCATCTTCCCTCTTCATATTCTACATTCTCCACCTTCTCTTCCCTCTCCCTCCACCTATAACCTGCACTCCAACTCCTCCTCTCCAAGTTAGTCTATTCCCTCCCCTCCTGGAATAAACCCTAGACACTACTTAGATCTGAATGCCATCACAAGAGTCAGACATTTTCCAAGAAATCCTCCATTTGAGGCAAGGTGCAGAAAATGAAAAGGAGAAAAGAAATGGACAAAATAAGTAATAGCTAAAAAAAAATGGATTAGGGAGGGAAGAGGGAAAACATGAAGAGGAAAGAGAATCGCAAGGCAAATGTTGTACTCATGAAATCTGTATTCCTTACAAAAAAATTTTAAAAAAGGAAAAAAGCCAAGCCCTGCTTGACTGTGTCCCTTTGTGCTGCAATTTATTCATCTTTGTCTTAAAAAATACTTTCAGCTTGGTGCACAGTTCAACTCAAAACACTGAATCAGTTCTATTTTAGAACCACATAGAAAGACCCAACGGTCATAGTATTGTGTCCCAGGGCTCCACATCCAAGAATGTGGGTTCCCAGATCCAGCCTATTGGGTGAATAATAGAAAGTTATTTTCAAGGTCTTTCAAGGCCTCCTTACCCAAGACATCAGACGATGTAGAGACAGCCAGACCCTTTTTATGACCTAAGGTCTTCATCATATTCCATTCTTTCCAAAGGTATTAGCCACAGCCCCTCGGGATTCTTTCCTAGGATGGATGGTCCTTAAAAATACATGAAACCAAAGTTTGTAAGAGCACTCTATTTTTTGTGCTCTTACTTTTTCTTTTGTTATCTTTATAACATACTTTTCAATAAATCTTGAAGCATTCTTGAAAAATGCATACAAAAGATTATCATTAAAAATTATCTTCTTTTTAGTGATATTCTCCCCATAATAAGAGATAAAGAATGTTTTCAGTTCTACATTTAGAAAATTTTCAGACAATTTTCTCCCACATATCATTAGATTGAGTTATTCAAACTACAAGGTATTAACGAGTTGCGTAAAGATGTAGCTTGGGCAGGGAACATTGTGAGTCGTCATTTCACAAACAGCGGACACTGTGCCGTGGTTTCCCATCTCCAAAGAATGAATCCACCAAAGAACTCGGAGTTCCTATGATGGAAATCAGGCACTCAGCAGACGGTGCAGGAGAAGGGCACAGGGCACCAGGTAAGACCCAAATCACTCCCTGCTTCCTGAAATTTACCAAGTCAGAAGGCACTGTGGACAGGAGTCAGGATAGTTATTCTTATCTCTCCTTGACAGTCAGATTGGAGGATGATCCAATGAAATGTCAGAATTGGGCCCAGGACTATCCACTATCCAGGACAACCTATCATCTTCATCTCTATTGCACAGCCATGGAAATCAAGGAATAGAGGAAACCAGAGACTTATTTATCCCAGGCCCTCGTTCAAAGATGAGAAAATAAGAGTACAAAGAAGCAAAGTCATTTGTCAAAGGCTATAAGACTAACTGTGACCAAGCATGGATCTGGATTCAGCTATGGCTTCCAGCCAGAGTGCTTCCTTGTAGCTCCCTCCTTAAATCAAGGAGTTTAGTAGCATACACACACAGAGAAGCACACATACACCCCATATTTAAACACAGTCAGCCTCCCTAAATCAAGGGATCAACATAAAAAGCCACGCATTCTGAGTAATTAAATACCAAGAGTGGTTTATAAGACTTCAAAAGAATTGTAAGGATTCAAATTCTTCCTCTTCATACTGTGTTTGATTTCCAATCTCTGTTCTTTCAAAATGCTCCATTGGGAAGTAAAATGTAACTTCTGACACTTCCACATTGGAGGTGTGGAACTCTAACCTTTACTTCACCTACTCCTCTAAATTTTCTTGTGATAACTGCAAATTCTCTAGATGCCAAATAGATTGACTAAGTTATCCCCTCTGCATGTAAAGGAAAGGGAATGCATAATTAACTAATGAGGACAAGAGCAAAGAAGAGAAGGAGGGAGGAAGAGAAAGGAAAGGAGGAGAGGGAGAGACACAAGGAGGAAAAAATGTGAAAAATGCCCCAAATGACAGACTGTCTCTATGAAACAATGGGAACCTTGATAGACCACCCCCTACAAAGACCTGGACAAAATTTCTCTCCCTATGTACTCTCCATGCAGCATGAGCTGCTTCTTTTCTAGAGTCCCCAACATCACAACCCAAGGCAATGCTTCCAGTGAAATGGCCCAGGAATCGCTCCACCCACCTTGAATTGTTGTAGCATTCACTGTAAGTCAACAAAGCTGTTGTGCCATGTCCTGCTTCCTAGAAATTCTAGAATGCTTAAGGAAGCTTAACCTCCCATGTGTTTCAGTGAACAGCTTTAGATCAAAATTCAACAACCAACTTATTTGTGGGTGGAAGACTCATCAAAAGACATAAGGGTTAACATTTGGAACTGTGCAAATATTTGGAGTTGGGATAAATTATATCACTGATGGCCACCTCCATCCAGAATTTAAAAAACTAACTTTGAGGAAACCTACACAGTTCATTTTTCCATCCATTCACTTATTCAATAAATACTTACCAAGTGGCTACCATAAATCAAGAACTATTCATATTACTAGAAATATAGTAGTAAATAGACAAAATGTTCTTGTAGACTTACCATTCTGGTAGAGGTAACGTAAGACATTCAAGCAAAATCAGTAGAATGCATTGATGCTAAACAATGACAAGTAGTGATGACTAAAAATAAATCAGGGAAGAAGGATGAAAATCAGAGAGATATTAAGGTTTCTCCAGGAAAAATCACTTCTGAATAAAAACTGGAAGGAAGTAGAAGGAAAAACAGGTGAATATTAAAGAAACAGTGTCCCAGGGAAAAGGAACAACTGCAAAAGCCCTTGAACTCAGGTAAGCCTGGTATGTTCCTGTATAACAACATCAGTGTGGCTGAAGCAGAGAGAAGGGTGTGGGAGAGAGCAGTAAGAGATAAAGACAAAAATGACAGGAACCTGGGTCATTTCTATTTGATTTGTTTCCAAGAAGTTAGAAGCCTGAAAGATTGTATTAGGTGTCCATTGAGCTGGTACACAGAGACTGCATAGCCTAGTATTTAACACTAAGAAAGCTGTAACTCCCATCCTTTTCAGTTCCTTTAATAGCTTGCCACACTTCATCCTCTCTCTTCCCTGCCTGCCTAGTTTCCCAGGCCCTTCTCTACTCCTCCCCTTGCCATTGCCTCTCTACCCCACCCAGGGCATATCTGCCCTCCTGTGGAGTTGTCCCATGGAAATGGTATGATACATGGCTTATAACACAGTGATAATAATTCCTTATATTTCAACAGGCTTTACCCATTCCAGGAGACTAGCACTGGCTCATTAGATCCTCAAAACATTCCTGTGTGGTAGGAGTTCTCTTGCTATAAAACAAGAATTCTCTGTCCAAAGGTTAAATGACCTAGTTAGGGTCCCTTAGCTTACCAATGACAAAATAAGAGCAGAATTCAAGCCCACTGGTTCTAGACAGACTGTCCCTTTAATGACTGTCCATACTGAATGCGCCCACCTCCTAGAAGTGCACAGAAGTGGGGTGATTGCAAACACCAGCGTCAGCGTGAATAAAGGGCAGTGACCTAGATCAGACACCTCTGGCAGCAGGGCTGGCTGGCGGCTGGCCAGCTACTGCATTCGCACACAGCTGGTGCTCACCGATCACATGGAAGCCTTGATGGTGGGAATTTAAGCAAACAAGAAAGGCAAATGCAGTCACAGAGCAAGGCCCAGGGCTCAGATGAGCAGGATTTTTACTGATTCCCCACAACACCATTTCTCCTCCTGATCCTCAGCACAGGGTTCCCCTGACTGGCATGCAGCTGAGCTCAGCAAAACAAGGGAGGGAAAAAGTAAAGTCCATGAAGTGTATGCTGGCCCAGGAGGGTCTTAACTC